TTCCCTACATGCTCTGTCAGTTACAATCCTGTTTACTTTTCTGTTATGAGTGTGCTAAGTCTAAATGCAGTGAATGGGAAGAGATTCCTTTCCTTTTTTTTTCTTTTTTTGCGTGTTAATTGGCCAATGGACAAGTCTGTATTTTAAGGGCAGTATATTGCTATCTTACGTGAACCGGAAAATTGTATTTTGTATTTTTGATGATCTCTTTTTAACAAGAGTATTCAGGTGGCCTTTGGGGAGTGTGCCATTCAAGAGAGACTTGTAAATGTCATCTTTGAACTTGTGTTCTCTCTAACATTTTGCGCCCCCCTCTTCTACCCTTTCTTTCTTTTGACTTTGCTCACTGACTTTTTTATACCTTTCTGAGGAGGAAAAAAACTGTCAGATCAGGGACTGCAGATATGCTTTTGAAGCAAGACTGTTTGCTTCATGCTCAAAAGAGCCACAACCCCTCCTTGTCCCCACCTAAAGCAAACACTCCTGCTCATTGCAAACTGTTTAAAGCCTATTGAATAGGCTTTGGCTTCTGTGGTACAACACCGTGGAAGCATATGTCAGAATGTCTTTAATCCATTAATTTCTTGTTACTGGAAAATGCTTTTCAGCGAGTCTTGGTGAGAGAACAGAAGCATTTTGGAGATTGCATCTTCAGAATTTGGCGGCGAACGTTTTATTCATGTACCTTGGTGCAGCCCAGCTATTGTTTGTGGCTTGAAAAAATTTGAGCCAATATAGTTAATACTTCACTCCCCTCCCCTTGCATCGGGCTGTGTCTACCTCTCTTCTTGAGTTCAGCATGAAAAATGAATTTGAACATTAGTGGAATCCATTTGGGGACTGGAGCTTTTATTATAAATAAAATTATTCATTTGTTATGTCCTGTTGTTTTCAGCAGACAGTGTATTGATCTTTGGATTGCTATTCAGAATGGCATATGGAGCTCTAATGTAAGGGGAACACGGCCACATTTGCAGATGGGTCGAATGTGTTGTGTAATGACAGAGACAAACCTTGCTTGCTGGCCATACTATATTATACAACTGTTTATTGAATCAGTTGTTAAAAAGAGCAGATTTTTCCAAGCGGGAGCATCGCACACAGAATGTTATCTGGGCCAAGCCACGTTAGGATAATGCATTGAGGACAGCCTTACAAAGTGTATTTGTGAAGAATTAGACTACATAACTTAAAGGACATTTCTGCTGACATATTAGAAACAAAAGTTGGGTACAAGGGAAATTGTGTTCTAAGGTCCAACTTCAATAGATAAAAAAGAAAAATCTGGCAAATGCCTTTTAACACAAAATTTTACC